GATTGCGTTATGTTTATCTTTTAACCCCTATTCCATTGTTTATAACAATAACTAACTTAAATTTTGCAGCAGAATTTTCCATTCGGCAGATTTTTTGATAATTAATACGCACATGCCTTGTTCATCCCTTTAAATCTATCTCAATTTGCTAATTATATCTAAAATCTCAATTAATTTTTATTGTCCAGAAAGAGGCAAAAATACAAACTTGCATTTAAGTATCACTATTTGAGCAGAGCAGGATTGGCACCGAAAGTGATACTTTCGGTATTTACCGAAATTGTAAGTCTGCAAAATGTCCGAAACTTGTGTTACTGAAGTGTTTTTGAATGTTGATACTAATATTTACAGTAGTGTCAATATAATTATATTTACTATATAGTTTATTAGCACATTCTTTATATTGTGAAATAATGAATAAATATAGAATTAAAATAAAATTTTTACAAATACTCGTAATATATAAGAGTTAGTCATGATGAATAAATAGAACCTGATTGCAAAGGTGCGAGAGAATCTGTTTTGGTTTAGGCAGTAACTGGCCAAAGTTTATATTTATAGAATAACTAAAGGCGTAGTAGAGGATAAATAAAAAACCGAAAGGTAGGGTTCGAGGTACAGGGGCATACCTTAGGGGCATGCCTTGGCATTTCATAACCCTCTGATGACATGCTCGAAATTAATGTTAATAATGTTAATGCATTGTCCTCATTTCCGAATTCTTCCGAGACAAATGCGACTTTCTGGTCGTCTTCCATTACAAATCACAAATATGCTTCTTTCTAATCTAAATTATGCAAATTCTGTTCTAACTATGCCAATTCTATAAAATATTCCGCGATAAACTAAGATTTATGCGCTTATAACCACGGAATTGCGTTAATTTTAGGCGGTCCTACTACAAATACTGAAAACCATTTCACCGAAAGAACATAATACTGACTAAATTATAACCAATGCCGGCTAACTTTATCGTTGTGATAGTCAAGTTTATCGGAGAATTACGGAATGGGATTTTTGGTTTAATTAATCAAAAAAGGGCATGCTTAATCTTTTACCCGTACCACGAACCATCAAAAAAGGGCATGCCTAATTTTTATCCGTACCAAACCTTACTGAGAGATAATCTAATATTGATATTATTGTTTGCCTTAATGTTTAGTGTGACGTTCGACAATTTTTGAGGCACAGTATATTTTAGCTATAACTTAATTTTTTTTTGTTTTTTACGTAATAATTATAATTAAAGAAGTGGCTGACTATTAAGGTTCTAAATTAACCAGTTTAGATAGCATTTGAATAATCAGTCAGAATGAGTAATAGGGATGGCACTTGAATTAAATGATTTTTATGTAATTCGAGTGATTTTTAATATTATTACGCTCAAGACCCGAGAAAACTGAAATCTACTGTTAGAACCGAGTTCAGCCAGTATTTTTTAAAATACGCAGTAAAAATCAATATATTAAATCATTTTGATATACTCTGATTTAATATCGACAATATAACATTGACCATATAATGAATTAGAGTGTAACAATTATTCAATTTACTAAAAAAAGCTAATCATATTATAAACGTTTTCTCTCTCTCTCTCTTTTGACAAACCAAAGTTTACCAAAAATGTCACGGATCTGCCTGTATTACGTATTTCATCCGGAAAATTGATTTTTAATTCTAAAAAAAGTATATTTGGTAAATTGGCTTGATGCTTCGATTTTATTACAGTAGTAATTAGTTGAAATTCTCAGTCTAAATCTTTATTTTGCAATAATTGAGAATTAAATGACTGTTTGGTGCGACGCCTAGGTTAAAATGGAATCGAATGCCTTATCTCCTTATTCTAATCATAAGATCGCGAGATAAGTCAGTTTGTCAATATTACTCAGTATTTCTTTAAAAAAAAACTTTACTGCGTGCTTAGATTAATGAGCTTGTAAATTTTACTGTTTTGATGGATAATACCGACATCTTTACATTATTAACTGCTAACCATTGCACAAAAGGGTTTTTTTTTTGTTTTATGATTTTTTTCTTTTTCCGATTAGTAATTTTAGTGACGATACATTCTTATTACAGAAAAAAGGTTTGGGAATAGTATAATGG